GACTCCAAATGGTTCCATTTAAGTGTCCCACCCTGTATTTACACGTTCTGACCACTTCAGTTGACTGTTTATCTCCCAGCACACTCGACTAGACTTGCAGGCTTGGCTGCTTTAACTTCATCCCTTACTTTTTCCATTCCAGGCCTATCATTTACATTTTTCTTTAGGAAATGTAAATATTTATTTACAGTATTAGCTTTTACTCTTGCATAGCTCTATACATATGGAATAAACAGTCTGCAGTATTGGTTCTCCTCCTGAATTTTCCATAAACCGGTGGTGACCTTAGCCAAGTCATTTAACCTCACTGAGCCAAGATGTCGCTTCATAAAATGAGATGGTTTTCATTTTTGTTTTAGCTACCAGATCTGTGATTCTGTGCCTCTTACAGTCACCTAGGAACATTTCTCTTCCATCTTTGTCATTAGCCACCTCTCTTTCAAAATGCGTTTGTGGGTAAAACCAACTTTCTGTATAATTGGCTTCTGAAGGATTATGTACACAGAAAAGCATTTAATGAAGGAGAAGAGTAGACACTACTGGGCTTAGATTCCAGCTCCCGAAAGTGGGGGAGTGCTGGAGATCTAGGAAAATTCTAGCTGCAGGCCTGAAATTTCTACAGACTGCTTCTTAAACTGGGATGTAGGTACCAACAGGGGTATACAGAGGTGTGTCAACAAGTACAGGAAGCCCTTCCTTCTAGAACAGCAATTCTCAAAGATTTGAGAAGAGGAAACAGACTTTCGTATTTAAACAAACAAGGAGATCCTATGAATAGAAGCTAAAAGGCACATGACATCTTAGTAGTGCACCCTGGGCTGGACAGTGTTAGGCATACTTCAGTGAGTAGAGACAGGGCTTTACTTCTGGTCTTGAGTTGCCGAATGGGTCCTTTGAGGTATGTGTACTTTAATAGGGAAAGGTGTTAGGTTACCAAAGAGGGACATTCCTGCTAAATAATAGACATATGTAGAAAATCCAATTTTACCATTAGGAGAGTTTAAAGAGGGTCATGAGGGTTGAGGGAGAGCCAGGCTGGAACAAGAGATCTGTCTCCACTGTTCCAATAATTTATAGTCTTATGTAAGTCCCTGGATAAAGGCTGGGCTTGAACTGATCCAAACACTTGGGAGATCTCTCTCCCCATTTCTCTGGATTCCAGTAGCACTTCTTGCTTTACCCATACCCCTGTGCTTATCATGCCTTCTGGGTAGGCAGCTTCTCAATCAGAGTCAGGCAGGTGCTGTGAATTAAAAAAAAGTACATGAACAAAAGTCAAGACCTTGCTTAACTTGTCACTTTTGTTTGCTCCCTGAAATCTCTCTGATCCCATTTGCTCACCTATTAAATGGTCCAATAGGACACCTGCCTCGCCTACTGAATAGGTAGGATTGTGTGCACAGCATATGGATTTGTAATGTAAAAGCACTATGTAAATCATTAAGCAAAAATCAGTTATTAACTAAGACCCCTCAAGAGAAGGAGGCTTTATCTCTCAACATCTTTCTATTCCCCCACCTCTAACTTTTGCCTGGTTGGTTCTGATAGCTATTAATGATAAAGATCATGAAATGCTGAACCTAGCATGACCCTGGGAACACTCTAATTTTGTCTTTCTCTGCTGCCCCCAACATTCTCCTCTGCTGACCGCAGTGCCCTTCCCCACCATGTGTTCTTGCATTGCTTTTTCTCCCCACCAACCCTCCCAGAGAATATGAATACTAAGAAGATACTTAAAGAGAGTACAGTATTTAATGGATATGACTGAACTGCTTGGGGGAATTTCAGGAATCAGTAGGGGGAGTTTTCCAGCAATGCCATTTGGAGGCGGGGGAACGAAGTGGTATTGTTCTAGAAACTTTCTCTCAGACATTAAAATGCCCAAACAGAATTCTGGACTTTTCTTTTAAACAAGAAACTAACAGCCCAGTCTAAATACCTCCCTATGTAATAATAAAGCATAATATTCCATTAAACTTTTTACTGAAGTCACTCTGTAGCTTCTGCCAACTTCTGGTTGGTCTGGGGTGAAGCCCAGCCTGCATCACAGTTGACATGTGTTGTGAGAGAGCTATGTCAGAAACACAGACGGACACACTTGTATCTTTCCATAATGTCAGAAAATTTATGGAATAAGAATAAATTCATAAGCTACATTAACTTTGTTGGCTTTAACTTGCCAAGTACTACTGATTTCACTTGATAGTGCTATCAGCAATCACAGGTTCTTTTATTACAATCTTAATTACTTATATTAACTCTCAGATCCCACATTACAGTTCACACAATCTATGTGTTACAAAATGGCTAAGAAAGGGTTAAAAAGGCTGCAGCGCTGACAGGCTGTATTGAAGGAACAGGCACAGAGCTGTTATAGATGCAAGGAAAAGTCTATGTTGGGGACCAAATAAGTTTTACCACCCATAGGGGTGGAGTTGTTCAGGGTGCAGAGTTGTCAAATGCAGATCTGGATAGCAGGCAGATTCGAGTGTCAGTTGGAAGTGGGCTGTATGCCAAGGGCAAGAGAAACCACACTCAAGCTGGAGCCTGGGAACAGACAGAATTCCTTTGCTGCGGCAATTTTCCTGGATGAGGCTTGTGACAAGTGACCAGGTAATGGGTCGTAAGCCTGCTGTGGCTCAGTCTTGAAGTGCTCTTTCTTTTATAGTCCTAAGTATAGGGGTTACATCTGGGGTGATTAATAAGCTCATGTGTCTAGTGTTTCTGATATGATTTGATATATTCACAGATGTATTTTTTGGCACAAGTAAGCTACTGGTTCATGCCTCATGGTGTGTTGTTAGATAGTGGTTGTTTACTTGTATAAACAAGATGTGGAATCATTCTGTCTTGGCACTTATACTCAAAATGGAGTAACTTAACTCAAAACTGCTGCTTTATAAACTGGAGAACTCAAGGTTAGGCACAGCCTGAAAAGCTGCTATTCTGTACAATATAAAGTGACACACAGCAGGCCCAATCTGTTCTCCACATTATCCCTGAGGGGAATTTCAGGGGAAGGAGAAAGTTTAGTATGTATTGGTTTGAGATATTTTCCTGATAAATTTTACTAGGACATTCCCATGATGTCTGACTTGGTCTCAGAACAGAATGGACTTGCAACTTTTTTTTCTGGGTGTGTGTGGGGAGGAGGAACTAGAGTTTGAACTTGGGGCTTGCACTTGCCAGGGAGGTGCTGTATTACTTGAACCATGCCTCCAGCCCTTTCTGCTATGTATTTTCCAGTAGAATTTCATGCTGGGTGGACTGGACCCAGGTCCTCCTATTTACATTTCCCACTAGCTGGATGTCAGGTGAGCCCCACTACACCCCACTTTTTATTGAGGTGGGGGGGTCTCATGAACTTTTTGTTTGGGGGTGGGGTCCAACCTCAATCCTCCCATTCTCTTGTCTCCCAAGTAGCTAGGATTATAGGCGTAAGCCACCATGCCTGGCTTAAAACAAACTTTTTAAGTGTTCTTAGGCCTCTTCACAATCTTTGGTTTCGGAACTATTAGTTGTGCAAGAAATATCCACACTTCACACTAACAAGGCAAGAGTTATAGTGAGAACTTGGGCAGACATTTTACAGGTAATACTTTTATTTTTTTTTAAAGTAAACTTCTATAGTAAGAAATCAGGAGAAATGGACAGGGTGGGAGAATGTGGAGGTAAACTTCCTTTGCACTTTTTCCCCAAAATGCATGGATTGGATTGGCCAGGGAACACTTTGGGTCCTGTTTTACACCAGAAGCAACAGAGCCAATTTAGAATCAAGGAAGACCAGTGAGGAGGCTAAGCAAACGGTTTATGTCTGTAATCCCAGCTACCGGTGAGGCACAGATTAGGAGGATTTAGATTAGCCTGGGCAAAAAGTGAGATCCCACCTCAACAAAAAAGCTGGGTGTGGTGGTACTGTGCCTATAATCCCAGGTGTGGACAGCTAGGTAGGAGGATTGAGGTCTCAGTCCTAGACAATAGCCTGGAGACACCTTAAGCTAAAACAAAAAAGTGCTGGGGGTGTGTGGCTCAAGTGGTAGAGCACTTGCCCAGCACATGCCAAAGCCCTGAGTTCACTCGCCAGTACAGGGAACGGAAAAAAAAAAAAAAAAAAGAAAAAGCCAGTGATCTTGGCTCAAAGAAGCAGGGCGGCCAGGCCCCAGGTCACAGATGAGTCTCAGGCCAGGAACCTGGTGGGAAGAGACTGATGGACCCTCTCCTGCCTTTCAATCCTTCTAATTTTTCCGCAGGCAAGGAGTCTCGGTTTACACATCTGTAAAATGGAAGAAAGACCCTCCTGACCCTGCTCTCCATGTGCAGAGGACACACAGAATAGACAGCCCTCGTGGGTGGGGTTCAGTGTTTCTCCTGCTATGGGCACAGGCTGAAGAAAATCTACAAACCCATGCACCCTCCCTAAGTAGTTCAGGTGATCGGTCCAGAGAAAGTGGGGCGGGCGCCCGCTAACTGTAACCCGCAGGTGAGCTTCGCGCTCACGAGGGAGGCAGGCTGCTGACACGTGCCTGCGCGGTTGCCCCGGAAACCACAGTGGCTTGTTTTCAACACCCACCCCGGACGCTTCCACTCAGTGGACTGGCAACAGGGGTGCACACCAGGTTCTGCCTGTCACCTGGGCGGCTGCCACAGGGCTCTCCCATTCGGTCACCCCTCTCTACCTGCCGCAATGGTACAGTCCAGCAGCCGCCGCCATAGCCGGCGCAGGAGGAGGAGGTGAGAGCAGCTGCAGGGCGTGGTGGGTGAGGGAGCCGCAGCTGCTGGTGGGAGGGTCGAGGCCGACGCTGCGGCCTCAGTGTCCTCATTGTGAGCTAGTGCTCACTTCTCTGGCTCCGGCGGGAGCGGCTGACCTCAGAGAAACCCTGAAGCGCTGCCTGTCCTCCCTGCACCCTTAGGTCGGGTCCTGGGGATTTGGGCAGGGGGGAGCGGGAGGGCCTTTCCCCAACACCAACAGCGCGCCATTTTTCTCCAACCCAGATACCACCAGCAGAATGCCCAACGTCAAGAAGAGTGTGCCCCGGAAGGACTCCGGCGTGGCAAAGGGCGGCTCCTGTGAACCCCCAAAGTCAGGACTGACCCGGGAGGACGAGAGCAGCCCCCAGGACCACCCTCCGTGTAGGTCCAGCCGGCCCCGGAGCTTGGGCCTCCTATGGGCGTGGGTGCGGGGCAGACTGGCGGGATGGGGCCGCAGCCTCTCCTTGTCCCCCCAACCCCACCCCACCCGTCGCGTAGGCCTGACCCGTGGGTGATCAGAGGGCTTCAAAGAGTTATGGGGAAAAGCCACCCAGGTGGCTAGCCCCGTGCCACGGTAGATGTACCTTGGGAGCCCTACGTCCAACCGCACTGGACTCTCGTGAGCTCCGGGGAGGTCACCCAGTCGTCACCCCGAAGTCGTCAGTCAGGATGGCCACGTGCAACAACTTGAGCTCAACTTCTTGAAGACTGAGCGAAGGATCAGTTAGCTCGAGGCTCTGCTAAAAGTTGAATTAGAGCCGCTTTTCTTTTGGCCACACGGGGTCGCTGCTGGCTCACAAAATGGCACCAAACAAGCCCCACTGCCTTGGGGGGGGGGGGCGTTCAACTGATAGGAATCTGATGGAAGGTGAAAACCAAATTATCTCTACTCTTGATCCCTCCTCTCCTGAGTTTGTTTTAGAGCTATTCTGAGTGGTTTAGAGTTGTACATCTGAGAAATGGAACTGTTTTTCAAGGCAGTAGTTGGAAAGTATTTAATATTTGCCTCAGTCCTTCATAAACTGCTGTACTTCAGTCTCACTTTGAAGATTTCCTTTTAATTCTCACTTGTATCAAGAATTAGTCTGTTTATGTTATTTGTACTATTTCTTCAGAGGGGCTGCAGAAATAAAGGAAGTTTCAACCATTCACTTAAGGTTAAGTTCACCTTTTCTTAACCCAAGAAAGAATTAAGAGGATTTTGTGTGTGTGTGGGGGGGGGTTTGAACTCAGGGCTTCCACTTGCAAAGCAGGCACTCTACCTGTTGAACCACACCTCTAGTCCACTTCATTGCACTTACTTTGGAGACTGGGGTCCTCACGAACTATTTGCCCAGGCTGGTCTTGAACCACCATCCTCTCAATCTCAGCCTCCCAAGTAGCTAAGATTACAGATGAGAGCCACTAGTGCCCAGTCAGAGGATTTTTTTTTTTTTCAACGAAGATCTACAATCACTTTTTCCCCTTTTGATTCTGGTACATTTTGAATTTGTTGAGAAAAAAAATAATACAGTGAGCACCTGCATTGTTAATAGTCTTCCATATTGCTTTTTCTCTCCACTTCATTTTTCTGTCTGCAAGTTATAATTGCAGCTTTAAATACTTCATTATGTTTCTTTCTACAGAAAAGGTCATTGTCACATGTAATCTTTTTTCTATAATAATTTTATTTTTTCTTTTTACATTTTTAAATCTTTTTACTATAGAAACACATTTTCAAAAGTAGTGCAACTAGTATAATGAACCCTCATTTACCCATCACCTAGCTTTACCAGTTATTAGTTCACGGCCAATCTTAGTTCATCTATTTCTCCTCTTTATCTTGAAGCTAAGTAATTTTTTGTGAAAAGGAAGGTTTCCTAAGAGTGAGAAATAAGACTTGTGCCAAGTAATCAGCATAGTTCCCATGTTTACCTAGTGTGTGAGAATACCATTGACCGTCCTTAGAGGTCTGTACTGAGAAACTGAAGCATTGTTACCAAGAGCTGGTCTGTGACAAAACTCTTAGCAAAATTTAGGGAAATAAATCATAAAGATACTGCAGTGAGTTTTTGTAAAGCTAAATGGATTCATTTTAAAGGAGTACTCCTTATTTTGGTAATACTTCCTTTCTGTTTTCCCTTCCACCCCCCCCCCAGTTAAATTATCCTTTCTTTTATGACTTGATTTTGGTGGTAGTAGAGTGGAGTTTTTATTTCCTTGCTTTTATTTGCTTGTCCATATTAACAAGAAGTTGGCAAGCTGTGGTCAGTTGACTCAAATCTTTGAGGAAATTTTATTTGTGAAATCCTACAATCTGGGAACTACTGTTTAGGTGACCAAATGACTTTGGTGCTATTAAGTAACATCTGAGTATTATCTGTAGGGAGAATTTAGCTTTTGTGATGGTTAGAATCAGAGGCACAAAGAGGAAAATTAACTCTTGATACCTTCAGATAATTTTTTTATGTAAATTACAAATTGTTTCTTTGCAGCTTTAATTATAATTTTACTTTGTTTTTTTTCTTGGTGGTACTGGGGTTTGAACTCAGGGCCTCATCACTTGAGGCACACCCCCACCCCATGCTTTTACTTTAAGAGAAAGATTTTTAAATGAGTTCCACTTAATGCTTTTCATATATTAGATTCTTCCTTCCATCTGTGCTGTACTACTCAGAGTTTCTAATTCTGTGGGGCATAGAGTTCAGAAAATATAAATGACTAGCATGGTTGAGCAAGTCTGATAGAAATTTAGGGCCTACTAGGTTGAGTGACTCTCTGAATAAAATAGAAAATCATGCTTGCATGGGTTCACTGATGTCCACCAAAAGTTTTTTGTTATAGGTCTGACAGAGAAGGTTACTGAAATTTCCGAGCTGAGCAACAAGAATGGGAAGAATCATATCCATGAGGAGGACAAAATTTTATCTTCAAGCAGGTAGAGGCGCTTCTTCTTTCTCCATTTTACTCTCCTGGCATCAGTACTTAGCACTAACAGCTTCTGACCAAATTTGAAGCATTTTTTGTTTTGTTTTTGCAGTATTGATGATCAAACCCAGGCCCTTGCTTGCTAGGCAAGCTCTCTACCTCTGAGCTACTCCCCAACTGCTTGAACTGTTTTTACTTTAAACTTAAGAGTAATATGTTGTAATTATTTAACCAGCAAATAAATCAAAACAATAATTGTTGGAATAAGTAGGGTAGATTCAGATCTTCTCTGGCACACTTGAAAGAAGTAGCGTGGCACTAAAAAGTTTTCAGTTTTTGAACATTTTGGAGTATGGATTTTCAGATTAGGGATGCTCAGCCTGTATTGTGGTTTAGAGAAGTTTACATCTCAGAGGTGTAGAGAACAAATGCAGGTTTTCCTTAGAAGGAGTTGAAGTGTATCAGGTATGACATAAGGATCTCAAGTGGATGTCAAGGTAACATAAAGTTGCAGAAATTCTTTACAGAACTTTACAAGGAAACATACAGGTAAATGTAGGAGAAAATTTCAGAAGCCTGTACAAAATAGTTGGATGCCAGAAAGTTGTATATTGGTGGCCTTTTTCATTAGCTAGGTGACATGGAAATTTACCTTTTATATCTTAACTGGATTCCTGAGTTTAGAGCAGAGACCATTAACCAATAGGGCCAAGAAATATTTATAGCTTCTGGGGCCTAGTGTTCAGATATTTAGAAATTAAGGACCCCATTTTTACTTGGAATCTTGGGTCTCCCAGAGCTGAGGCTAAAGCCCACGATGGAAATGCAGCAGACTTGTACCAGCACTACTATATACTATAGGTCTGGAGTCTTGCTTTATTTATTTATATTTTTTGTGACTAGCACTTCAGTAGTCTCTTAAGTGTTCACTATACCTACTGTCAAATTGGGATTTGGTTCTGAGGTCTTAGACAATGATTTTTCTTGCAGTAAATTTCTATTTACTGTCAGTTTCTATCTGTTCCATTCAGAAATCTTAGACTTTTCTTACTTAAGTACAGAAAGAAAGAAAAATGGATACAAAGGTGGAGTTTATCCCTGCAGTGACAACCACTCATTGGAACCTCTGTCAGTTTTCTTTGAAATTGTAGCTCTTGCCATTCAGTCACTGTAAACCCATACGGGTCAGGTGCCCTCTTAAAGCATAAAGTAATCCTTCAAAAGCCAAAGAGAGGGAGTGCAAGGCTAAAGAGCGAAGTTTCAGACCTGAGGCTCTGGGGCTCTGTGAGGAAGATGGGACCCCCAAAAAGGGGTTAAGGTGATTTGCCTGTGTTACTTAAGGGTCTCACAGTGGCCAGAAGTCTCTTTCAAAAGGCTCTCTTTATGTGGGAGTCAGAACCCTGATGTTTACTTTTCATAATTTTTCATCCACTGACCACCAGGAACAGGAGAACCAGGAGCAAAATGGAAAGATCAGATCTTAAGAGAAGCCAATTTGAGGCTATTTTAAGTTTTCCAAAGAGAAACATAGGATTAGTAGATGTTTGAGAAAAAGGGATTTCAATTGACTGAAACATTTCCATGGATCGGAAAAGATCCTATAGAGAGAACAGAGGATGTAAAAAATTACAGCCTGAGTACCAGCTTTTAATTAAGTCAACTTTTGTTCATAGAGTTCTTTCAAAAAATCTTTTGCACCAGGTGTGGTGGTGTCCACTTGTAATTCCAGCATTTGTGAGGCTAAGGCAGGGGGATTGTAAATTCAAGGCTAGCCTGGGCTACATAGTGAGACTTTGCAAAACACTCAAAAATGAAAATCATTTTCCTTCTTTTTAAGTGCAGGACAGTTCTGTTTTTAATGTCCTCATTCTTATAAGTATCTAAATTTCCCTGAAGCCAAACAGGGAAGGTTTTGGTTGGTAAAAACAATGAGTGAACTTTAAGTTATTTCTACAGTCATACTGCTGTTTTTATAAAAATTCATGTTGCAAGGCAAGGATTGCTGATGTTAAATTCTTTCAAAAATTTGGTTGCAGCCTGACATGATAAACAGGTTGGCCCACCTGTCCATCATCTGACTGGATTTTATATCAGGGAGCAGATTTCCAACAAGGTAGAAATCAACAGATTTCTCTGTTCATATTTAGAGCTGTTTGAATTTTTTGTGTGTGTGTATGTGGTAGTGGGGTTCGAACTCAGGGCTTCACACTTGTAAAGTAGGCCCTCTACTGCTTGAGCCATACCTCAGTCCATTTTACTCTGGTTGTTTTGGAATGGGGTCTTGTAAACTATTTGCCCGGCTGGCCTTGAACTATGACCCTCCCAAGTAGCTAGGATTACAGAAGTGAGCTACCAGTGCCTGACTTATTTGAAATGTTTTAATAAGCCAATTTCTTTCTGAGTCTATTAATTCTGTTGCAGCTTAGGAGAGAAGGAAAAATAAGGAATATAAGCCAGGCTTCTAAACCAAAAGTGTATCTATAAGTGACTCAAGGCACAAGGATAATTCAAATTAATTTTTATTCAAGACCAAAACTAACAAAATCTTTTATGACTTTAACCAAGGTCTTCAGAAGAGGAAGCAAAAGATGCAGCCCTTCCAAGACTCAGACCACTCCTAAAGACAGGCAAAAAGAAAGATGAGCTCAGACAACGCAGCAGTCGGTATGCTCACTACAAATGGGGTACAACTCACATTTCTGTTGGCCATATTCTTGGGGTTCTCAGCCTTTTGGTTGGCCCCTTTACCCATAGGCCCCATAGATTGAAAAGCAAAACAAGACAAACAGGAAAATGAAAGCTATTTATAGAAGGGGAAAGAATAACTAATCGGAGGATACCCCAATAGCCAAGAGACATATAAATTTGGAACAAATCATTCAAACTAATTTTTACAAATGTTTCTCTTATAAGCTTGTAACCAGGGTCTTAGGCCAGAGGCCCAGTTCTGGTGGTTACAACATGTCAGGTCCAGCTGTTTGCTCTGAAACACCAATTAGAGAGACTAGAGTAGTGAGGGTCAGAGAAAGGAGACTTATTAATTCACTGGCTGCATGTGGGAAGATGTAGAGAAGCATTTCAATTTATTTCAGGGTACTGACATGATTTTTAGGTTTAAATAGAGAAACGACTAGGGCAGGGGTGAGAGGTATGCATAGTTAAGCAGTCCCAAGCAAAGTATCACCTGTTTGGTCATTAGCTCTGGTTCTGCGGGATTCTGGAGAAGTTATTGCTGTCATCACGTGATCCCCATGAGATGATTACTCCTGCTTTAGGGTGCAGCCTCATCATTATAAGTTGTTGTCCTCATTTGGGGCGTGGTTCTGTCCTGTGAGGTGCTACTGTTCCTTGGGGGTAGTTGCAGCCCCTTGCCATAAAGATGTCATCAGTTCTGGGGTTCTTGGAGTCCCAGTTGACTTTAGGAGAGAGACTCAGAGCAGAAGAGACAAGTGCAGAATGGAAGTAGGATGCATAGTTTTCCCCCTGATTTTAGTTCCTTGTGGGCCCAAGTAAGGAATCAGTGCTTTTTAGCAAAAGCTGTTTCTAAATACCTGCTACAAGTGGAAAGCATTTACTAAGGAAGTAAAGCTTCATTCAGAGGAGGAAAAATTTAAACCGTGTCCTAGAGAGCCAAGTAATACTCTGGTTTAAAGGGTTTTAACTTCATTTTAAATCTATTTTCTGTGTCTTTTAAAATTTTCATTTAAAGAGCTCTCTAAAACGTTTTCTTTAAATATCGTTGTTTATTCCAAAACAATTCAAGCCAATATAAGAACTAGTGTACACACATTCTCTCCTCACCTTTTTAAAAAGGGAAAAAGACAGACTCCCCTCACTCTCACTAAACTGGGCACCACACAATCTAGGAAAGCTAACTTTGGTAAAAATTATTTTCTTTGCTGACTTTTTTGTCAGTTGTCCCTGGATCCCACTTGCAGATTCCAGAATGATCAGAGAGATTTGTTATGCTGTTGACTATGCCAAAATTGTAGGGGAATTCAAACTTGTCCTCTGAAGGTTTGATAATTTGAGTCTGCTGAAATAAACTGACAGATCAATTAATAGAAAAGGCATACAAACTTTTTAACATGTACGCATACAGGAGTCACAAAATATGAAAGTCAAGGAAGGGCTAGATGGTTGAAGCTTAAATACTTCTTCATAAGGGAGAGGGAAGTGGGAGATGGTAGCAGTTTAGAGGAAGAATAAATAATTTTTATGGGGGATGAATGGGCCAAAGAATAGACAATAGCCTGGGACTGTCTAGCCCTGAGTATAGTGTCAACTCTAGCCTTCCTGCAGTGTGCATCAGTCTCCCCTAGTTGATGAGCTGTCTGGGGAAGGGATTCACAACAATTGAGTATCTTGTGGAGGATCTGGCTTTAAAGTTGATGGGGAACTTCAGAGAAAGTCTTTCCCCACATTTACTACTCCCAGGTGCTCTCCATTTGAAATCCCAAAGTCATATTTTGGAGTATGACCTCAGCAGTCATACAAGCCATTTGTCTTGCTGGTGGTGGGGACCCCCTCAAAGGATTTTAAATGAGAATGATATAATGTTCAGAATTGCATCTTAGAAAAATAATCGATTTTAGAATGGATTGATTCAAGTAAGAAGAACATACTACCAAAAAAAAAAAAATAGTCAGGTGCTGGTGGCTCATGCCTGTAATCCTACCTGCTTGGGAGGCTGAGATTTAGAGAACTGTGGTTCAAGGTCAGCATGGGCAAATAGTTTTTGAGACCCCAGCTTTAAAAATAACCAGAGCAAAAATGGACTGGAAGTGTGGCTCAGGCAGGAGGGTGCCTGCTTTGCAAGTGTGAAGCCCTGAGTTCAAATCCCAGTCCCGCCAAAAAAAAAAATCAAAAAAATTAAAAGAACAGATTAAAAAGGGACAAATCTGGAGGTAGGAGGGCCAGTTAATGGTCTGTGATGGTTGTAGGTGGGGATAGAGTCCAGAGACATTCAAAGAGCAGCATTTGTGGGACTTGGCAGTCAGTTGCATAAATAGCACAGGGAGAAAGTTAGGAACAGTTTCACTACACACTGGTTATTGGGTTATGGTTGGTCATCTCTGATTGAGATTGATGTGTCCAGAGAAGAACTTCTGACTGTTTTATTTGTCTCTGTATTACTTGTATTTTTTATGCAAGGAACATATAGTACCACTATATTTGGGGAGGGAGGTTAATTTAAGAAAACCAATAGCTCTTTACAATGGCTAGATTCAGCCTTAGAATTTTTAAATGTTTTTTTTTTCTGTCTAATTCTGTAGGCCAGACATGACATTTAAATAAACATTCATAGGAGAAGTCCTATAATTTGACTTTATAAAGTTTAATAGGGTTTCTTTTTCTAGAGTAGCTTTAGGTTTAAAGAAAAAAATTAGAAAATACAGAATTCCCACATACCTCTTCTCTTTCCTATGTAGGTTCCCCTATTAGTCTTATTTTTATGTGGCACATTTATTAAAATTGATTCGATATTAATATATTACTAACTTAAGTCCATAGATCACATTGGAGTTCACTTTTTTTTTGTACATTCTATGGTTTTTGAAAAATGTGTATCCACTATTACTATATTATAGAGTGATTTTACTACCCTAAAAATGTTGCTTTCCCCCTGTTCATCCCTCCCTGTCAACCCCCAAATCTTTTCTACTGTCTCCATAGTTTAACTTTTTCCAGAATGTCGTATTGTTGGAATTATAACCTTTTCAGATTAGCTTCTTTCACTTAGCAGTGTGCCTTTAAGATTTCTCCATGTTTTTTCATGACTTGAGCTCCTTCCTTTTTGGACTGAATAGTACTCCCTTGTTATGCATGTGGCAATTTGTTTATCCATTTGTCATTGGAGGACATTTTTGGAGGCTTCCAGGTTTTAGCAGTTATGAATAAAGCTGATCTAAACATTTATATACAGGCTTTGTGTGGACAAAAGTATTCAGATTATTTGGATAAATGCTGAGGAGTGTGATTGCTGGATCATGTCATAAGAGTATGTGTACTTTTGTAAGAAACTGCCAAACTGCCTTTCCAAGTGGCGTCTCATCTTGCATTCCCACTGCAGTGCATGAGCTTTCCTGTTGCTCAGAGTCCTCCCCAGCATGTCACTTTCTGATTTGGTGGAACATGATCACTGTTTTAATTTGCAGTTATCTAATGGTGTTAGGCAGCTTTTCACGTACTAATTTTGTATATGTTCTTTGTTGAGATGCCCTTTAAGGTCTTTGACCCATTTAATTAGGTTGTTCATTTTCTTATTACTGAACTGTAAGAGTTCTTTTTGCATTTTGCATACCTATCTTTTAGCAAAGATTTTCTCCCAGTTTGTGGCTTGTCTTTGTTTTCTTAACAGTGTTTTCCACAGAGCAGCAGTCTTGTAATAAAGTTCAACCTACCAGTTTTTCATTTCATGGATTGTGCTTTTGGTGGTATCTTTAAAAAGTCATTGGAAGCCCAAGTCACTTAGATTTTCTCCTGTTATCTTCTTGGGGTTTTATAGTTTTGTGTTTTACTTTTATATCTATGAACCATTTTGAGTTAACTTTTGTGTTTAGATTCATTTTTTTGCATGTGGAAGTATAGCTGTTCCAGCACCATTTGTTGAAAATATTCTTTCTAAATTGAATTGCTTTTGCAACTTGTATTTTTTAAAGCCAAAAAAAGACTGATTTTTTTCTGGCTTCCATGACTGGATAGATGATGATACCACTGGGACTGGGATACAGGAGGAATAAGTTTTGAGGGGAAGAATAGTGAATTCATTTCAGACCAGCTGATTTGGAAGTATCTGTGTTACTCATGAATTTTCTTCAAAGAAGAAAAATCTTCCTAGATTTTAGGAGTGTAAGAAAATGAAAGCTCATTTAGTTCAATGCCACATACATACAGCAATTAAGTCATATGTGTAGACTAGCTGCACAATCAGTGCTAAAACTGTCTTACTTATCTTTGTTCAGGGTTCTTCCTACTGCATAGGGAAGGCTGCTCTAGAACAAAATGCTCTTGAAATCCAAGTCTAACCTTGCTCATCTCTGCTGCAGTCCAAACACAGTTTCTGTCATTTTTCTTGTCAGCAAAATGACCTTTTTTCTTTATCAACTACTGTTTAGGATTTAGGATATTGTCACTCTGTAACAGTTTTTGGGTAGAGAGAATAACTTGCTCATTTAATCCTCTTACAGTCTGGAAGGCAAGGTCAAGGAGACAATGCACAATGACTTTTGGGACCATCTTAAAGACCAACTATCAGCTACTCCCCCTGACTTCAACTGTGCTCTCGAACTTCTGAAAGAAATTAAAGAGGTGAGTGACAGACCTTCTGTTTGTAAAGTTCTTAGACATCCCTATCTATTGGAGGGCAGAGGCTAGCAAATCCTAACAGAACTTGTCCATGAGTTAGTCAGGCAGATATCACGCAGTGAGTAATTTGGTCAGGGAAGATTTTACATAAAAATTAGTATAACGGAATTGGAGAAATGAGGGATTAGCTTGTAAGCAGTAAAGAGAATGCTACAGAATCCTGGAATATCAAACAGAAAGGAGCATCCACCTTACTTTTTGGGTTGATATAAAATACTCAAAACACCTCATTAAGAGGGTCCACTGTGCCAGGGGAAGTGCTGGTCTATGTACTGCTGACCATCCTCCACTACAGAAGCTGAGTGCTGCAGAAACCACTCACACTGCAGGAACCAAGTACTGGGGAAGTCACATGTACTGCAGCCTGTTAAGTAAGCACACAGAAACGGGGAGCAAGAGCTCTTGGTTTTTTGCCACATCTTCCTAGTATTAGTGGACACACCTTAGGGTGACCAACAGTGATCTACACCCTTGTATAATCTTTTCTCCTTGAGCATGGATGAGACCTGCAACTTAGTTCTAACCAATATAACATGGCAAGGGATGGTATATTACTTCCATGTGTACATTTCCTTATATAAGACTCCGTCTCAGCAAACTAGAGGGACAGATTCTCCTGCTGGCCTTAACCAAGCGAGTGGCTATGCTATGAATCGCCAATGGAGAGGGCCACATGGCAAGGAGCTGCAGGTGGCCTCTAGGACCTGGGAGCAGCATCCATCCAATAGCCATTAAGAAGCTGGAGCCCTCAAGCATACAGCTGTAAAGAAATGAATTCGGCCAGTGATCCAAATGCACTTAGAAACAATCTTCCCCAGTCAAGCTTCCAAATGAGAATACAGTGTAGCCAATAATTTGATTTAAGCCTTGTGAGATCCGGAACAGAGGATCCAGCTAAAATGTGCCTGGACACCTGACCCATAGAATCTGTGAGGTAATAAATGTGTTTTAAGCTGCTAAGGTGTGGTGATATGTTACATAGAACAGAAAACTAGTAACACACTCTATAGATCAAGCTGAAAATTGTGCCATCTGGTAAAGGAAAGGTAATTTACAATACTTACTCCATTTTCATAGAGGAGAGAAAAGGATGAATTTGGAGCTGATAGGCAATAAAATGATAAGTGGCATTATCCACCTCTTTGGCTACTCAGCTTCCAGATGCACCATTCTACACACATTTGAATTCCTGAACTCTGTGCCTGGGCTTGGGGATGTAGCTCAGTGGGAGAGTACATGTACAAGGCCAGCATTTAAAAACAACAACAACACACCAAAAAACTTCTATTTTCTACCTAATAATATAGCTGCCTTACAAGTTCTCATCTTTTCTCCAAGACAAGGGGACACATGATCCAAACAGTTAGTGTATCTACCACTGACTGCTCCCAATTCAGTCACAGTTCTATTGAATGTGCTATTACCTACAGGCTAAATTGTAAAGTTAATTTCCAACAACCTTTGTATAAAAATATAAGAGAGAGGAAGAACTGCATAGTTAGCATACAAATAAATAAAATGAGCAAAGAAAAATTTATAGTGCTTTTTTCTGTAGTTCACAAGGCTTTAGTTAATCTGTGGCTCTCTTCTCCCCGTTCGTGCCGTGTTTTCCTTGGTCTTATATCTGAATCTCAGCTGGTTAAGGTTCTTTATCTGCTGGAGTGACCCAACCTTTATTGCCAGAGTCTTGAGTCCTCAAATCTTTTGCTTTTTTTTATTTGCTCCAGTTTCTATTAACCTTTATTACTGGGCTTGGAAATACTGAAAGGCACCTTAGAGAATATTCTGGGCTGCAGGCATAGTCCTTCTGACTTCATCATGTAGCACTTATTTCTGCCTTTAGAGTAATTTAATGGTTTAGTCTATTGGTTCAGTGGTATAGAGCTCAAAATCAGGTGATTTAATTCATCAAAATCAATGCAAGTATTTCTGCTAAATCAGCAGAACGGCAGACAAAAATCTGCAAGTAGGTTACTGGGTGTACTAGTGAGAGGAACCATTCTTGCTTCTTCCTCTTGATTCCTGAAGTCCATGGATTCTGGCTTTGGGGGGATAGCATCATAGAATGGTCTTTGACTCACAGTATGTATTGCATCCTCTAAGACAGAATTTCCTTTCAGGTATTGTTGCTCAGCTAATGCTGTAACTGAATCTTTAGTAAGCCACTTTTCAGTTAAGCCAGTAAGGACTGTTAGGTCAGAACAGCTAATCCCCTGGATTCTAATCCATTGTCGCACTTCCTTTGCCATGAAAGGAGCTCCTTGGCCAGACGCAATGCTGTAGAGCATGCCAGGACTCAGGATGGTGGATAAGGCATTCTATGAGGAGTAGATACTGGTTCAGACAGGAAGACCGATACCCAGAATGTGTGTCTCTTCCAGTGATAGTGAATCTCTGTTCCTTCCACAGTGGAAGAGGTCCAGTGAAATCATCTGTCAGGTGGCTGGGTGATCTTCATGGGGAATAAGCTTTATTAGGTCTTAGTTTTTTGGGGGAGATTTTTAGGATATTTTTTACTGTTGCAAAGTATACATGATAAAATTTATAATTTTTAAGTGTTTTCAATTGAGTGGCATTAAATCCATTTACAGTGTTGTGCAACCATCACCACTGCCTAGTTCCCAAACAAAAACTGTGTGCCATTAAATAATTTCCCTCTACCCAAAAGTGCTTTTTAAGCCCTATGAATTTGACTACTTGAGTTAATTTGACTCATTTAAGTGGAATCATACAATATGTGTTGCATGGTATTGGCTTAATTTCACATTGCATAATGGGTTTTTTGTTGTTGTTTCTTTGTTTTGAGATGGGGTCTGGCTATGTAGCCCAGGCTGACCTCAAACTTGTGATCCTCTTGAGTGCAGGGATTACAGGTACATACTACCATGCCTGGCTCAGTATAGTTTATTTAAGGTTCATTTATGTTGTAACATTTATCATAAATGTGGTTCCTTTCATGTATGAATAATATTCCATTATCTGACTAGTATTCTATTATATGACAATTTGTTTATTCAGTTGATGGACATTTGTGTTGTTTATATCTTTTGGTTATTGTGAATAATGCTGCTATAGAAATTGGTGTACAAGTATCTATTTGAGTCTCTGTTTGCAGTTCTATTAGGTATATACTTAGAAGTGGAATTTCTGGATCATATAGTAATTCTATAGCTAACATTTTGAGGAGTTGCTAAACTGCTTTTTCACAGCAGCTGTACCATTTTACATTTCAGCCAACAATGTACCAGCGTTACACTTTCTCAACATTTTTGCCATCTACACTGTTTTTCATTGGTGGTTTTGGCTTGTTAGTTTTTGGTAATAGCTGTTCTAATAGGTGAAGAAGTATCTGACTTTGTTTTTTTCTTAGCTTGTGTTTCTGTAGTGGCTAACGATGAGTAGATAGATGGGTGAGCATCTACTCATGCCTGGTGGCCTTTGTTCACATCTCCTTTTTCTTTTTGAATTTACACAGGCTTTTGTTGTCTTACAGTGAATGTACAGCGGCATTACCATTCTGTTGTTTTCTTGTGATGAAGTGCAAAAAGAATCTGAAAAGGCACAACAAGAATCTGCTCTCAGGACAGTGATTGTGATCGAAATAGGAAATGGTACCAATGGAAGCCATTCTCCTTGCGGTTTAAAGATTATAAATCCTGGTTCATCTGTTAGGATTCAGGGGCCTACTTGTGATTTTTATGTTTCTTTTTTTATTGTTGTGGATGGGGGTACATTGTAGCATTGCAAAGGTTCTTACAATGTATCAAATATACATTGATTGAATTCACCCCCTCCACTGCTCTCCTTCATCTCCCTTCCCCATCCCTGCAACAGTTTCTACAGGTATCATTTTTGCATTTACATACATGTGTAAACACTGTTTGCACCATATTCACCTTTCTGCCCCTTCCCCACCACCTCTACCCTTACATTTCTTTTGAAGAAATGTTTTCTCAAGTTCTTTGCCCTTTTTAATCACAGTCAGGCTGCTCTCAGATTTGCTATAAAGCTCAGGCTGGCTTTAAATTCATAATCCTTCTGCCTTATACCCCCCCAGTGCCGGGATTATAGGCGTGTATCATCATACTCACATCCAGCTATTTTTGTTGTTGTGCTAGAAATTGAACCCAGAGCATTGAGCATGCTAAATAAGTGTCTTACCACTGAGATCCTTTACTCATTTTTAATAGGATTATAAGTGTTCTTTGCATATTCTGTCAGATACATAATTTACAAATATATTTTGCCATTCTGTGGTTAATCTTTCTAATTTAGGGACTTGGTTTCTTGGTTCCTAAAAGGCACATAGGCTGGGATGTCTTTAGCTAAGGGGGTTATCCATTTGGAGAAAGTTTGGGACACTAGACAGAATGTAACTGCTTTGACTTTCTTACCTGGGCAGATCTTGTTGTCATTGCTGCTGCCACGCCAGAGCCGTCTAAGAAGTGAGATTGAAGAAGCTTTGGACATGGAGTTCCTCAAGCAGGAAGCCGAGCGTGGGGCCCTGAATGTGTCCTGTCTTTCTAAGTACATTCTCAATGTAATGACTTTGTTGTGTGCACCAGTTCGGGATGAAGCAGTGCAGAAACTTGAGAACATTACAGACCCTATTCGGCTATTGAGGTGTGAAACTTTGATTACTGCCCCCTGAAACCTCCCTCAGCCCCTGGGCCAGGAAAAGCTGGGTCAGACACTGCATTATAACTATTACCTTGACTGGCTCCTCCTAAACACCTGACCATCACCCCTTTGTTCCTCTCTGGCATATTGATTTTTTTCCTTTTCCAAACATGGCCTTTCCAAGAGAGCCTTTGGTTATCCTTAGATTGATCGGGCCCCCCTGTATGATGTGCTATCATAAGACAAAATTCTAAGGAACAAAAATATCCCAGCTTTTCTCTGTCTCAGTTCACACAAAGAGGGGTCAGCAGTGGGAGGGTATTCATATTTCATCATTTTAGGAAATTAAGAAACTGAGACACAGAAAATCAAAAGGAAAAAAAAGCCCAAAAGTCAGGATTAGCATCACTTACAATTCCACCTTTCAAAAAGGATTGTTAATATGCTGGTGTATTTCCTTCCAGTGACTTCCTTTTTTTTTTTTTTTTTTGCTGTGTGTGTGTTATGAGGGTTTGAACTCAGGGCTTAATGCTTGCTAGGCAGGCATTCTATCACTTGATCTAAGTCCCCAGCCCTTTTGCTTTTAGTTATTTTTCAAATAGGGTCTGTCATTTTTGCCCAGGTCAGCCTGGACCATGCTTCTCTTTATTTATGCCTCCTGTACAGCAGGGATAACTATATTCAGCTTTAAATTGGTTGAGATGGGGTCTTGTGAACTTTTTGCTCAGGCTGGCCTCAAACTATGATCTTCTTGATCCTTGCCTTCTTCATAGCTGGGATTACAAGTGTCAGCAACCATGCCTGGCTTATAACTATAGTGGAAAACCATAGTGAGAGAGACTTAGCTGTTTCCAATTTTGCCATTAACTGATCCTGGTCCTTGATCATGGACAATGTCATTTGTAAGTGTAGGAGGTAGGACTAAGTTAGGTCTAAGACCTGTCCTAACTCTGGAATAGTGATTTAACCACTCCTTGTATGGGTTTTCCTCTCACTAGATTTCCTTTCATAATATAAATATTCTATTTGCCCCTGTGTCAGAGGGATCTTCCAGGTTCTGGGCCTGATGAAAATGGACATGGTGAACTACACTATCCAGAGCCTTCAGCCCCAGCCACAGGAACATTCCATTCAGTACGAACGGGCTGTGTTCCAGGAACAACTCAACAAGCAGCCTGGTATGTGTGATGTGAGGGCAGGAATGGGAAGATGTGACCTTGCACCTGTCTTTTTGAGAGAGTATTCTTTCTCTTTAGGAATATGTAACTTTCTCTTTAGGGTAGGTAACTTAATGGTAGTACTTGCCTAGCATGTATGAGGCCCTCTATCCACAGCACCTAAAAAGAAAATAACAGAAGGCCAGGTTAGGAATAGAGGGGAGGGAGAGGAACATTTAATTGAGGCAGACCCCACAGCATGTATTAACCAGGAGTGTATCTTGAAGAGAGCCTTGGCCTCGAAACCCTAGAATATGCCAAATATGCTCTCCCTCCCTCCTTGTCACCCTCCCCCCTGTCCTAGGCCTCCTCAGTCACACCACCAAATGGCTGACCCAAGCAGCAGCAGACCTCACCACGCCACCTCCAGCTTGCCCTGACACTCCTGACTCTTCCAGTATGGCTGGCCCCTCTCCAAATGAGGTGGCCAACAACCCAGAGCCCCTCAGCCCTGCAATGGTATTGTCTCAGGGCTTCCTGAACCTCCTTCTTTGGGACCCTGAAAATGAAGAGTTCCCTGAGGTAGGAAGCGGGGGTGAGGGAGGGGCATTGCTTTGTTTTGAATTTACAGCTTCTGTCAGGACCCTCCTGACAGCCTGTTCTTCCCCAATCCTTAGACCCTGCTGACGGACAGAACTCGACTGCAGGAGCTGGAGTCCCAGTTGCACCAGTTAACCATCCTGGCCTCAGTCTTGCTAGTGGCTAGTAGTTTCTCTGGCAGTGTTTTGTTTGGCTCACCACAGTTTGTGGATAAACTGAAACGTATAACCAAATCTCTGTTGGAGGAATTTAATTCCAGGTGAGCTGCATAGGTTGTAGAGTAGAAGGTGGTGTATGGCATTTAGGACAGAGGCATGTGATGAATTACTGCTCACTCTTCACTACAAACCACAGGAAGGCCCTTTGAAACCACCCACAAGAGTGTTGGCTTCTTTTCCTAAGTGGTCTTCAGGTTTGTGACAAAAATAAAGCTTTCCTACAAAACAGGTAGAGTGAAGGTAGAGTGCAGGATAGTTTGCTGCAAAGGAGTCATTATTTAGCTGGATAGATGACAGTAGGCTGGTGTTATGTATATCCAGGAGCGCAGGTCAGTCAGCAATATTGATTGAACATCTGCTGAGTGCCAGTCATCTCATCAATGTAAAAAAATTGGGGCTGGGTATGTAACTCAGTGGTATAGTACTTGCCTAACGTGTGAGGCCCTGTATCCACAGCACTTAAAATAACAGAAGGCCAGGTTGTAATTGTAGTTGATGAGGTAGGACAAATGACCATGGAAAATATCCAGGAAGGTCTAAAAATGTATGCATAAAGTCCATGGGGCCAAGAGTGCCGGGTGGGTTCTAGGGCAGAAGTAGGAATTGTTCTATAGTTCATTTCCTCAGAGTGGAACATGGTACCATGTAGAGAGAGTAGTTGCTGTTTTGAGAACAATGAAGACATTGCACCTGCCCCTGGGGCCCTGCTGCTGGCCATGGGCCAGGGACTGGAGTAAATGGCTGGAATTCTTCCCACAAGTGGGCCTAACTTCTGGTGTGAAAGCTTCCTGGGTTTCTGCACATCTGCCAGGGCCATGTAAATGGGTGCCAGCTTACTGTCTTTCATGATCTAGGCCTGAGGAGGCTATGCTGAGTGTGAGTGAACAAGTGTCTCAGGAAATCCATCAAAGCCTCAAGAATATGGGTCTTGCTGCTCTGAGCAGTGACAGCACAACATCTTTGATGGGACAGCTCCAGAACATTGCCAAGAAGGAGAACTGTGTCTGTAGTGTCATTGGTGAGCACGCCTGTGGGTGGTAAGAACATGGGAGAGAGAGCTGGAGGAGGGTTCCCAACCCTGGAAGTCAGTTACTGAACTATTGAACACTGAAAGACCTGATAATTGGGCAAGTCACTGTTTTGCTGGGTTGAAAATATATCCCTTACAGTTCTAAGGGATATTTTGTACCTGGGAATTCATAACTTCTGGGTGTGGGATACTGTCCAGGCAATCTAATTAAATCACCCTGGCCTACTGATCATTTTCTGACTCGTAGTCTAAGACACTTCACGCACACACACACACACACACACACACTCCCTCCCACACTTAGTCTAAGACACTTCACACACACACACACACACACACACACACACACACCCCTCCCACACTTAGTCTAAGACACTTCACACACACACACACACACACACACATACCCCTCCCACACTTGCCAGTAAGGAACTGATGCTGAATTAGACTGGAAACATGTCTCCATAGTAGAGATTTCCCCATTCCCACGTTAGAAGAGCCAGCTTGCTCCTAACCTCAGCCATATGAAGAATCAGACTAAGATCTTCCTATTATGAAAAATCCTAAGCTCTAACTGATGGCTTCTTAAATAATCTTGAATGCATAGAAATTTACTGACCCACTAGTTTTTTTTTTATCTTTGTTTTGTCCTTGAGAGCAGGTTGGCAGGTTCTTTCCCAAATAAAGCAAATTTCCTTATCTGTGGGTGAGTGTACAGGTTGGTGGTTATCTGTTTGCTTAGCACAAGGGTGGGCAGAGTTCAGGGCCAGTGTTTCTCCCTGAAATCTATGTGCTTGTCCACCTCTCCCTGATTTTTCTATTCACAGATCAGCGGATCCATTTGTTTCTCAAATGTTGTTTGGTTCTTGGTGTGCAGCGATCTCTCTTAGACCTTCCTGGAGGCCTTACTCTCATTGAGGCAGAGCTGGCGGAACTGGGCCAGAAGTTTGTCAGCTTGACACATCACAATCAGCAGGTGTTTGGGCCTTACTATACTGAGATCTTAAAATCTCTCACCTCCCCAGCCCAGGCACTGAAAACAAAAGTGGAGTCTCGCTGATAGCATCGACTCAGAGACCGGGCACTTTAGAGCCAGGAGAAAGGCCCGTCTTCTTCCTGGGGTAACATCTCCAGTGACCAGCAGAGCAGTGAGCCCTCCTCCTGCTCCCCACCGCTAGGCACACCAGGGCTGTAGTGATCAAGCATGTAAACACCAATTGGCCCAAACCCACTCCCTAATAAACGTCTGAACTGCAAGCAAATCTCCATTCTTCTGTGCTGCAGCTGAGCTCCAGCCCCTAACTAGCAAAGAAGCCAGCAAGCCCTCAGTGTTCTCCTCTGGCCATATGCACCCTGAAGCATGAATAGATGACAGCCAGGACATCCAGGTGCTAGCATAGGGTTTTCTAAAGGTAAAGCATTTCTCTGAGAACTCTACAGAGGTGCCAAAAATGGGAGCATAGGGCTTCTCTGGAAGCTTTAGTGTTGGCTAGGTCAGCTCAGGAGAGGACATGGTTAGAGAAGTTAGAAAGCTCATTTTCAGGACTAGATTCCCCTGAAGGTTTCAGTGTTACAACATGAAGTTAAGAAATAGTAAGGGCCTCAGATTCCTCTTCTGTGGCGTGGTCCAACCTAGTGTGAAAACTGAAGGCTGGAGGAAAGTGGATGTTGACTGCAAGTGTTCTGTTGAGGATAGGTTCCAGTGTTCCTGGGCGCTCTATCAGGTTAGCCAGTGTTCATGCAGATCAGCGACTGACTTGGATCCTGATCCTATTCCCTGGCCCAGTAATTTTCCTGTTCTCTCATCTCTAAGCTTAGAACTTCTTGTCTTTGTGACAAGTGATGTGTATGTGCAGAAAGGGCGCAGCCTCCATGCTCCTTCACACTGCCATCTTGGGCAGTTGTGGTGAGCTGTCCTTATCATCCTTGACATCAAATGAGAGATGCTGGGAAAGACCTAGGCTTGGCTTCTGATTCTAGAGTCCCATCCCATTGTTCTCAGGCTGACTGCAGCAGACCAGTCCCAACAGTATGGCTCACATGAGGAAAGTGTCCAACTGAGATTTGGTCCTTTTTTTGTAATAGACAAGAGAATGTGGAGATTCACTTAACTAGGTTCTCAGGGTAAGGGGAAGAAAAATAATGTCCTCACCATTTCAGAAGATGGAAGAAACTATGCATAACAGAATTTAGAATGACAAAAGAGGGGATTTGAGGTCTTTTAGGCCCAGGATTTACTTCTGATATCTTTTTTAGAGAGTAGATCCTAGGTGGGTGACAAAGCAAGGTCAACAGAGTATAATCAGAAAATCTGGAGGGCATGGATCATTCAACATTTCCAGTCTTGTAATAAGTGGTATTTTAATAAACAGGCTTGGCTGGCTGGATTCTCTGATTTGCAATTATTTATTGGTTATTTTTAAAAGTCTACATTTTGGAAGCCTCATTGTCTCAGAGGCAAAGTGTTTTGAAGGGGTTCCTGTGGAGACCTGCTGGTTGGTGGGCACACAACCTTGCTGTCTACTTTATAATTAAAATCTGGAGTAATAAACTTACTAGGAATTTTGCGTTGGTTTTCTTATACTTCCACATGGAAGTGACCAGGGATCCTATCCCTAAATAAGCAAAGATAGGACCACTTGACCCTGCCCACTGGCTTGAGGAAGTTTTAAAAATTCTTGTATTTATAAAATTGTGGTATATATGTATAAGTAATATATATATGTATATATGTGTGTGTGTACATGTATATATACACACTATCTTAGCACAATACATACACACATATAATGAAGTTTGCTATTAGCGATATTTAATGTTGTACAAGTACCATGACTAGCTAGGTCCAGATCATTTTCATCATCACAAAAGGAAATCCCATACCAGCAACCAGTTACTCCCCATTCTTCCTGGCTACCACTAATCTCTCCATCAGTGGGTTTTCTGCCTCTGGATATTTCAAACAGATGGAAACATAACATGTAGCTTTTTATGACTGGCTTCTTTCACTCTGGTTTTCTTTCTTTTGTTTGAGACAGGGTCTCACTGGGTAACCAGGTAACCCAACCTGGCTTCAAATTCATACTTCCTCAGACTCCCAAGTGCTGGGATTACATGCATGTGTGCCACCATACCCAATATTTCCACTTTGTAACTCATTGTAGCATTTTGTCATTCCTTTTTATGGTAAAATGATTTTCCATTGTATTGTAATTTTAATTTTGCTTATTTGTTGATAAGTATTTGTGGTCTTACCTTTTTGCTTTTAGGAGTCAGATCACTACCATTGCATCACAAGGTCTGCTCTCTTTTAGCTTTTTATAATGCCACTATCTGTATACAAGTATACAAGTATCTGTATACAAGATTTTGTTTGAACACTTGTTTTCAATACTTTTGAATTTATAGTCATGTACCCAGGAGTAGAATTGATGATAGTCTAATTCTGTGTTTAGTGTATTGAGAAAATGAGGCAGGATAGGTCAAGGAAAATGAGGCATGGGAAAGAGGAGCCAGGAATTCAGTATGGCTTAATTAAAATCACACAGGCATTATTCTCTTTGCTTTAAGTCATAAACTGCAACATTTAGTGAAAAGAAAAAATAAAAAGGAAAAAGCAGTTCTTTCCCTCTGACCTTACCTGCTTACCCAAATAATGTGCTCTGGGAACTGAGCAGGATATCTTATTTTTTTTTAATTGTGCTGAGTGGGGGTACATTGTAGCATTTACAAAGATTCTTAGAATGTATCAAATATATCATACTTGAATTCTCCCCATCCACTGCTGTCTTTTATCCCCCCCTCCTCTGATTCCTGAAACAATTTCAACAGGTATCATTTTTGCATTTTACGTACATGTGTATACATTATTTGCACTGTATTCACCTTCATACCCTTTCCCCACCACCTCCTCCCTCCCACCAGTGCCCCCCTCACCCAAGGCAGAACCTGTTCTGTCCTCCTGTTCTCTGATTTTGTAGAAGAAAAACTTAAAATAAGAGAAATATGACATTTTTGCTAGTTTGAGATAAAAATAGCTATACAGGGAGAATCCTTGTGTTTCCATGCATGTATGTATTACAACCCCAAGTGGTTCATCTCTACCAGTTCTCTTCACTCCTCCTAGTCTCCTTTGTATGATGGCCCCAGCCAGTTTGAGATTTCTGTTCATTCCTGATAGCACATCAACCACATTCAAGTTTTTGGTTTCTTGCCCATGCCCTATCCCTCCTGTGCACGGCCTCCCCTTAGTGCGATCTATGTCCTAAAATATTACTGTATTTGTTTTAGGTTTATAACCTGCATATGAGGGAGAACATGTAGCTTTTGGCCTCTGAGCCTGACTAACTTCACTTAAGATCATGTTCTCCAGTTCCATGCATTTCCCTGCGAATGGCAACATTTCATTCTTCTTTGTGGCTGAGTAAAATTCCATTGTGTATAAATACCACATTTTCTTAATCCATTCGTCAGTAGTGGGGCGTCTTGGCTGTTTCCATAGCTTAGTTATTGTGAATAGTGCCGCAATAAACATGGGTGTGCAGGTGTCTTTGTAGTGACCTAACTCTCATTCCTTTGGGTATATCCCCAGGAGTGGGATTGCTGGGTCTTATGGCAGATCTTTTTAGTTTTTTAAGGAGCTTCCATGTTGTTTTCCAAAATGATTGTACTAGGTTATATTCCCACCAGGAGTGTATGAGGTTTCCTTTTTCCCTGCGTTTTTGCCAACATTTGTTGGTGGTGTTGGTGTTCTTGATGATAGCTATTCTAACAGGAGTGAGGTGGATTCTTAGTGTGGTTTTGATTTGCATTTCCTTTATGGCCAGGGATGGTGAGCATTTTTTCATGTGGTTTTTAGACATTTGGGCTTCTTCCTTTGAAAAGGCTGTGTTCAGTTCAGTTGCCCATTTCTTTATCGGGTCATTGGTTTCTTAGGAGTTTAGTTTTTTGAGCTCTGTGTATATTCTGGTTATCAGTCCCTTGACTGGTGTATAACTAGCAAAGATTTTTTTCACTTCTTTGGGTGGTCTCTTCAATTTAGAGACCATTTCTTTTGTTGTGCAGAAGCTTTTTAATTTCATGTAGCTCCATTTTTCAATCCTTTCTCTTAGTTTTTGAGCCAGTTGAGTTCTGCTGAGGAAGTCATTGCCTATGCCTATTTCTTCCAGCGTATTCCATACTCTTTCCTGTACTAGCTTCAAGGTTTCAGGTCTTATGTTAAGGTCCTTAGTCCACCTTGAGTTGGTACTTGTACAAGGTGACAAACATGGATCTAGTTTCAGTTTTCTGCAGGTAGATAACCACTTTTCCCAGCACCATTTGTTGAAGAGGCTGTCTATTCTCCATCGTATGTTTTTGGCACCTTTGTCAAAAATAAGGTGGGCATAGCTGCATGGATTCATTCTGGGTCCTCTATTCTGTTCCACTGGTCTTCATATCTGTTTTTGTGCCAGTACCATGCTGTTTGTATTGCTATAGCTCTGTAGTATAGTTTGAAGTTGGGTATTGTGATACCTCCAGCATTCTGAGTTTAGGGTATCTTAAGAAAGACAAGTATCCTGGGAAAATGACTCTTCTGGGCACAAAAGTGTGTACAAAGGAAAATAATTCTCTCAAGATGGATACCTGTCTTGACAGGAACATCTCGCAGAACCCATCCTTTGTTTAAAAGGATGCTCAGGCAGCTATGTGGTAATGACCCAAATTTAATAAGTGTACCAACCTTGAAACTTTTGGGCTCAGTTGATAAACTGTAACAGCACTGGGCTAAAGGTGTAGCTCAAGTTGTACAGTACTGACCTTGCAAGCATAAGGCTCTGAGTTCAAATCTCAGTTCCACAAAAAAGACTAATGGTACAAACAGAATATACTAGATATCTAATAAAAAGGGGAGCACTCATCCCAGGGTAAATTTGAGTAAAATCCCCAGCCTACTTTTTCACTTTCCATTCTTGATGTTAGAGCACTCACTGCACCTGGTATCATGGGTGCCCACAACCATGTCTGGGTTGCATACTGTGTTTCTATCTTCGCTTTACTAATAAACTTTCTTAGTCTGTACCTCAGTGTGTCCTAAAATCCTTTTGCAACATAACCTAGTATCCAAGTGCCAGGCGGAGGCCTCTTTACTTTTGGAGGAGCCTTACTGGTTCTAATAGCAAAACCATTTTAAGATTTATAAATGGGGTGGCAGAGTGACTCAAGTGGTAGAGCGTCTGCCTAGCAAGCTGAAAGCTCTAAGATCAAGCCCCAGTACTG